GACTTCCTCACTGGAAAAGTTCAACAGTGAGAGCGGGCTGGCCAATCATTTCGCTCTGCTCAATGTCACCCGCGCTTCCGCTGGAGTAAGATATCACATTACATACCGTATCCTCCACTCTGTGTCCCACAAACATTGAAGAACTTGTTACAGGAGTTGGTGAAATGCAACATGTCCACACATTAAATGGCAAAGTATCAAAAAAATAGTTTGTTCCTGCAATCATTTTAGATTTATGTCATGTTATGTCATGTTATCGATTCTAATTTAAGTTTAATTTAATTGAAGTTTCCACAATCAAATTATCATCAAATCGTCCACTGGTCTGAAGCTCTCTAACTCACTGCCTGGGCAACTCCTGACCAAAGATGTCATATTGTTATATTGTTACACCTGTTCCTTTGTTAAAGGTTTCCTGTCTTTCTCTGTGTGTGCTTCCAGATGGCCATTGGCATGTATTACAATGCAGAGTTCACCATCCAGGAGACCACCTGCACCAAGACCACTGAAAAAGTGACGGCCGATAAGTGCCCCCTCATGGACTGCGAGTTCGCTGTGAGTCAAATTATTTCACATTCTTATCTTGATCAAATGGATCATTTTAATTTTTGCAAAGTTTTGCAAATTGAAAAGAGACATGGGAATCCACTGAGTAAAACAATACCATTTAAAGACCATTTTTTAGTACGACTTTCTGCTTTTAAGTGAAGCTCTAGACCAGTAATTTTTGGATTTATATCAAGTATCAGAGAATTTCTTTAAAATTAGTTTGCTTAACTATTACATTCTGGTAATTTCACCGGCGTGACCATTCCTCTGCTCTGTCTTCTTTCTTATTGTTTTTTCCCATTCTCTCCTCAGCACAAAGGCTTCTGTAAGGGATCCCATTACCACACTCCCTCTGGTGACAGCAGTTTCAGTGTAGAGTGTGAGATCTACGAGCCTGAGGTAAGACTCACAGAGCCGACACTGTCGCACTGACTTAAAAGGAGATAAAAGGAAAAAGCAAACACAAATTATTTCCATTATAATCAAATCGAATAATCAAATCTCATTCAGAGCTGTAGACAGAGCAGTAGTCTTAACAAAAAAAAAGAGGACACCAAAGTAATTGAGGGCAATTGTGGCCCATGGGTTAGAGAAGAAGACCAGCAGGGTTAAATCTGAATGGGAAAAGGGGGGAAAAAAACCCTTGGCCCTCCTTTGTCAACACCACTGTGGTGCTCTTGAGCGAGACCCTTGACCCCAACTGCACCAGTTGAGCTGCTCAGTGGCCAGCAGGTCAGACTGTCGTTGTACTGTGCAGCTTCCAGGTATGAATGTGTGTAACTCAAGCAGCAGCTGAAAAATGAGGCCAGCACAGAAGTGCTAAAACCTGCAGTTATTCAAATGACCACTAGAGTCTGGCTCCAACAGTGAGTCAATCCCCATAGACTCCCATGTCTAAATGTCCAACTTTACAGCAGAAATGATCACAGGTTGTATTGTTGGTGTCCAGGTTGCGTCAACAGTGTTATCATATTCTGTACAAACAATGGCCAAACTCACAAATATAAGACCCCAGACATGACTTGATTTGGACTTTGCTGAAAACCGTGGGTGTGGTGAAGGTTACACGTCTTCAGTCCAATTATCATTCATCACTAATGTCACCTGTCTGTGTTCTCCAGGCTGCTGAGAGAGAGAAGACACTGCACCTGCTGGGCGGAGAGACCGACCACAGCCACACCAACACACACACACTTAGCGGCGACCATGAACAAGCACACACCGCCGACCAGACACACACACACGACCACATCCACGACCACACCAAGAGCCACTCTCACCACGACAAAACCCAGAAGCACGCTGAAGACAGCGACCACCACCACACTCACGACCACGATGCGGGCAGCGCCCACAGGCACGCCCACGATCACTCCCACGACCACGGTCACGGCCATGATCACGTGCACACTCATCACGCCAAAGCTCACAACCACAGCGGCGACTCACCCAACCACCACCACGATTACAAGCATGCCGACGGCGTGCACACCCACGAGCACGACCACGAGATCGCCCTAGACCACGACCACAAGCACACTCACCTGCACGAGCACGAGCACCACCACCATCACCACGACCACGACCATGAGACCGGCGCCCACGACCACCCAGAGGGCACAGTGAGGATGCTGCCCGCCATGGACAAGCCCACGACCCTGCCTTCCTTCCCCGATGAGCCCGTCGGTGAGGTTGGAGTCGTCCTGCCCCTCAAGCCCGACCCCCAGATCCCAGGAGAGATGGAGCCCGCCATCGTCGCCTTCCCCACCTCAGTCTCAGCCCAGTGCGCCCCTCCAGCAGCAGGAGAGACCCTGGTGGAGAAACTCTTCGCTGAGGACCCCATGTTCAAGCCAGCTGCATAAGGAGGCCCGTAGAGTAGAAACTGATTAGAAACTCACCCATAGACACAGACTAGTGTAGTAGAGACAAGAAAACCCTATTTTACATGTGACACATCCATAGACAGTGTCACACACCTACACTGCTTCTCAGGGTCGTTCTTGGTCAAAATAGTGATTTATTCAAGCACATAACATGTAACCTGACCATGTCATAGGGGCTAAGTACATTAAAAACTACATCAACCTGTTTTTTCCTCATTTTCTCTGTGTAGTACTAAAACAACTGCCCACAGTCTGCCCATATTCACACAGAGGAACCACCTTCCAACCTTCACATTGTCACTGTCACTGTACAATTAAGACAGAAAAGCTTTTCTGTGTTTGTATATTATCTGGGCTTGGCTGAACAACATAATAAATGATACCACAAATACTCGTACCCTTTGTCATCTGTGTTGATCAAGACCAAGGTGATCCATTTTGTGTGGATTGAATGTACTTGTCTTCAACCTCCACAACCAGCTCCCTGTATTTCCTTTAACTGATCTCACTATCGTTAATGTCATCAAACAAAACGCCATGAAAACAATCTTCAGATGGATTTTCTAGCCAATACATTATTATTACAGAAGTGGCTGTTAGCTAACTGAAGTACACCAAAATAAAATGAAATCAAAATATCTGTTTTAACAGGCATTTTCCTGATCCCATCCCAACAGCTAACACTGCATCTTTTCTTCTTCCAATTCTATTTAAAGAGATGCAGAGCATTGAATACTGTCTGCCTTGTCATCAGGTCTGAACTTTCATTAGCCTCTTATTATTTTAGTGGTATAAAAAGTTTTAATCTGCATCTTTAACCAGATCAGCATCAGGATTCCCATAGTATAAGGCAACTGTGCTGATTTAAATTTCTAAAATATTAGGGCTGCACCTGTATTTAAAACTGAAATTCTGTTCATTCCAAAGGGTCCAAGGATTCAGCTTAGGTTCAGCTTTGGTGAACTTTGAAAATAGCAAGTTGTGTTTACACTGCTGACCTTTGAGAGGATAAACAGCCCAAAATATAGAGGAAGCTATCTTAGCTTCTGAACTTATATTGACCACGCTAGCTAGTTCTTTTGAACCACAGCAGCTCACCGCTAACCCTGAGCGTGGTCACTGCCACCAAGCTTTTTTTAACCCCACACATAATTCACATTGATGAGCGAATGTCGCTTAGGGTGTGAGTGCCGCATTACACTCATGACCACTGAGTTATTACCATAAATCTTGTTGCTGTAGCAACTGCTAAGGGTGAAATTCCAATACATTTCATAGACTAGTATGAAGACAGTTTCAACTCCATTTGGTTGCAATAGGATAATATGTTACAAACATGGCTGTTCAAACCAATCCTGGAATATTGCGGCAAATTTTTATGTGATATATTTACCAAAAAAAACTGTATATGCTGTATATCATGAGATCCTGCTAATTAGACAAATAGGACCTTAGAGGAAGAAATAGTGGTTAACTTTTTGTTCCTGTCACACTGCAAACAAGAACTCCTCACCCACTCTTCTAACATTAGCTTTACACACTCAGCAAAAAGCTCTTATCTTTGTTCTGTTGCCACAACCCACACACAACTCACAGCTGCAATCGGGGTTAGTTGCAAAAAAAAAAAAACATACTTTCACAATAATGACACATTTTGTAATTTCCAGTTAAGAACTGTATGTCAGCCAGAAAAAAATCTCCGAAAAGTACAATGTACAATAATGTAGCTTATGTAAGGTGAGATCACAGGAGTATGCTTATTAAATTTTTTTTGCATAAAGAAGATGCAGTGACCAATTGCATTAATTTGACAACAATATAAAACTTCTGTTATACATCCAAGATTGGACAAAAGTTTTCCTGTGAGTGAGCACAAGAGCTCCATTAGACGCAACAAAGTGAAATATCATGTTGGCCGCCATTTCAATGAATTTCTGCTCCTTATCTCCTCTCTATGATTCCAGGGCAGTGAACACATTGGAGATACAGAGAGAAAGATGTGTCAAAGGGAGCTCTACTGGATTTACACTTAAGATACACTTAAGCCTAAAGGCCTTAACAAGGATTGTGATACGAGTGTTATGTTTTCTGTTCTATTTCTGTTGTTTGAGATGTTTGATTGTTCTCTTATACATTTGGGGATCACTGATTTATGAGGGTTCAAGCTTGATTCTTCCCTTCTATATTCACATTCACATTTTTTTTTATTATTTTTTGGGGATTTTTGTGCCTTTAATGGACAGGACAGTAGAGAGACAGGAAATGGGGAGGCAGAGAGAGGGGGAATGACACGCAGGAAAGGGCCGTCCGAAGCGGGAGTCGAGCTGGTGGCCAGCTGCAGCGAGGACTGTAGCCTCTATATATGGGGCACCTGCGTAACCCACTGTGCTACGCGACGCCCCCGCCAACCCTTTTTTTGTATTAACAATACCCATCATTTAGGACTCAAAAAAAAAAAGACATAAACCAGTGGTGTAACCATTAAGGGGTTTTCAAAGTCTGGGGGCCATCACCCCCCTCTAACAAAACTGAGACAACTATTCCCATGTTGTGAGGAAATAATACAACTTCCAGCTTTGAAAATGTTTTATTAAACAATCAATGTAATCTAATTATTTAGAAGGATTAATGTTGTTACTTCTAGGTAACACTTTCTTGTCTTCTGTGAAAGATGCAGCCCTGCGTCCAGCCAGTCACTGATTGAAGTGGTTTATGCCCAGATTGTGCCTGTTCGGCCCGGGGCAAGAGCTTGCTGTTGGGGCAGATCTGGGAGATTCAGGTTGCTCCACCACAGTCCCCAGGGAACCCCGCGGCTTGGAGACAGTGGGGTCTGATCCGGGTGTGACTGAGTGCACGTGCTCATGGGGGTGCAGGTGTGTGTGGTTGTGGTGCTGATGCTCAGTGTGCTCGCTGTCTGCCTTTGCGTGGGCCTGCTCCTCCGCAACAGCAGCCTACAGAGAGAAAGAGAAACGCGAAAGAGACAGTGTGGTTATCTCCTTCAGCTTCTACTGGGAAGTCAGAGATGTGTTAAATAGATTAATAGAATAACTTTAACTAAAATCTGGAGGATCAGATATGTTAAGTCCTATTGTGTGGGGCATCTCTGAAGTCGAAGCAGGTACCTGAGGTTCGTAGATGTCACACTTCACGTTTGCATAATTCTTTTTCTGTAATGAGCTGTCTTTGAGTCTGGATATGTACTCATCATGAGGCTCCATGTGTGAGCCCACACAGAAGCCTCTATGCTGCAAGAAGAAATCAAGTACAGTTGAGCATGGATTTACAACTTGTTGGCATCTTGTAGAGGTTTCTGGCACAACTTCGCTGACTTCCAAGGTGCATGGGGAAAGGAAAAAGTCTACAGAGGTGAAAACTCCAGCAACACTTGCAGTTAACAGAAGAACTTTATCATAAGACCAGAAACGTTTCAGCTTGTAGCCTTCATCTGGGTCATCATAAAACACATTACAAGCAACATTTAAATTGGGTTAGTATGAGACAATTTTAAAACAAACAATCAAATGCAAACACATACATATCAGCCAATGGGACTTCTACAAAGATGGTCACGTGACTTTCAGCCAATTGTTGTCTCAGGCTGGTAGAAAGGTAATGACCAATAGAGGACATGGGTGACACCATATTTAGTTAACAGCCTGGGAAAGTGGTGGCACTTAAGTTTGTACAAAAGCCTTGGTCCAAAATTTGATTTGGCATAGGCCCACTCCAAAAACACTTACATTTAAGAAACTTTATAAAGTGCTATAGATATATATAAAAAAAATAAGGCAACAAGATGCAACATAAAAAGTACACCCTTCAAAGGTCATCATAAAAATACATAAATACATCCAAACCTCTGCAAATCCAAAATATTGAGCTATATTTAAAAAAGTGCCTTGAGATAATCTCTGTTGTGATTTGGCGCTATATAAATATAAAGTCTAATGTATTAAAATACTCTCAATACACCTGTGTGCATGTTACTCACAGCAAACTGACAGTCCATAGGTGGGCAGCTGCTCAGCTCACTGGCATCTGTTTCCTTTGAACACACTGTCTCCACAATGGTGAAATCCACAAAGTAGGACGGACCAACCACCCACTGACACAAAGTATACAAAGACATAATGTATAGACATGTGCACGCACTAGTGTAATGTGCTGAACACCTATGGACTACTTAAATTATGAAGTATAAAAATGGTAAATGGTTGGAAGGTTTTAGGTGTAATTCAGTCAAGATTTGTAAACTTGTACTTCCTCACTAAGATAATTATGACCAAATATAATCAATCTGATAAATATGCTACACATTTAGCATCCAAATCGGTCTGTGCCAAATTTAACATTGTGTCACACGGGTTAGTTGATTACTTAATTATTTTTTTTAACCTGTGCACTGGCTTTTGTGATGTTCTCCAGAGTAAAGTAGTTGGCCAGACGGCTCTCCTCATTGAACTTCTGCAGAGAGAGATTGGCTGTCTCCTTGACAGCGGGATGGTTCAAATCCCTAGCTGTGGGACAGTCCGGGCAAACGCCCAGAACGCTCCTTGAAGAAACTAAACACAAGGATCAACAGGGTTGAGGTCAATGAGATGAAGCTGAGGCAAAAGTGGATGTTGAGGATTGAACCCACCACAGTGACGGGTACTTTATCCAGGCGTGTTCTCCTTCACCTAGCCAAATTGTTTACTTGCCTCATGGAAGTATTTTTGGGACAGAACACATTTAGAGAAAGAAGAAACAACTCCATGTATCTACCTCTACGAAGTACACAGGAGTAGTTTTGAAGTTTGACTTGAGTGTCAAGGTAGGCAGATACCTCGCACTCTCCGTACACCTGAAGGACACAAACACACAGTCTCTGGGTTTGTTTGTTTTTTTTTATCTGTGAAATGATCTAATACAAGAAACATTGGCAAACATCGAACAAAACATATTTTTGCATGGTATTCAAAAAGCAGATTATGTTGTAGTGTGGCTTTGGGATCAGCTGAAGTCTATTGTGGCCCACAAAAAAAGCACTCAGAAGAGAGACCACCATGTGGTACTTACTGGAATATTTCCAATATTTTTGATTTCACACTGTTTCCATGGTTTCCTGCTGGTGATGTGGCACACGGTCTCCATGACATCAATGGTCAGTTTGTAGAGCAACCTATCTTTCTCCTGGAGGAGCACACACACACACACACACACACACACACACACACGAACACACACACACACACAATCACACACACACCCACACACAGTCACACACATATACACACACACACAGTCGTTAGTATGTGCTTGCTTCTGCTTGTGACTGAGATAGATGCCACAGGGGGGGTAACCAAGGTTCAGGGCTAATGCTTAATGCTTCTACTCACACTTACATTTACTTTTTTTCTATACTTTGCAAACATGCTGCTGTTGCATCCACTGTTTTATCTCTTTCTGCAAATATTGTTGCATTTTTCAGGATGCAAGATGGCGCAGGACCCTTTTCATGTTTTCGTGCGTGCATGTGTGTCCGCCCTCACTTTTTCAGGGGTGTGAGAGACGTCATACAGTCTGTTGAGGGACAGGATGTATCCATTTGTCCGGTCCTGGTTGATCTGCTCCAGGGCCTCTTCTGCCACTCTCACTGCCTCAGGGCTGTTGCAGGCCGGAGGGTCCGGCCTGGCTCTTCCCTGCTGCTGCAGCAAAGCCAGACATAGGACCAGCAGGTACACCCTCATCCCCTAACACACAAACACACGAATATACACACACACACTGAGCCCAATAAGAACCTTAATTTCACCCAGCTGATTTGCTAAAGCCTATCCTGATAGATAATTGAACATTTAGACTAACACATGCCCTGGCCTGCAAATCTCCCTTTGTAAAACCTGTAATCCTGGTTTTGCCAGACAGGGTTTGGATACATGTGAGGCTCATGGTGGACTTTCCCCAAACAAACAACTGCTATCTGCTGCTCTGCATGGTGAAATGGCTGGCTCAAAATTAATCAAGGGGTCATGGTGCACTGTGGAACAGGGGATATCAACTTAATCAAATTTTGGTTGTCAAGTACAGGTTTATCGCAGAGGATCATCGGACTGTAGTCAGCTTGGAGTCACAACAAAAGATCAATGAGTTATAGTGAAAACAAGGCTCATAATGTAGAAATGTGACTGCATCGTAATCCACCTCCTCACTCTCCCTTTGTATGATAACTTTTAGAAGACTGGCATCTGTTTTGGTGCCAGCGTGAAACAGGAGAAGTTGTTGATGCAGGCCAGGGTGGCACACAGTGACAGTGTGAAAATTAGTGTAGTGTAGCGCTGTGGGTGACAAGCCGGTTACAGTTTTCTTTTTACTGTCTTCTATAATCTCCACCAACACGGCAGGACAATTCACTCAGCTTTATTCTGCCCTGATAGCAGGACATTTGATGTAAGTATATTAGTAATATTAACTAAAAATAGCCTAATAAACTCAAATAATGATGCATCACTTAATATACAACAGAAATGAATATGGTAAACTTATTATCAAAATAATCCAAATGTGTATAATAATTGTGGTTACACTTAGCTTTAAAAATCATATGATATAATAGGCCAATATCAGTTATCATCATAAATTGCAAAAAGAAATAAGAATTAAATAAATAAATAAATAAAAACTCACCCACAATGTTTTTTCCTCAGAAAATAAACAGAAAAAATGTTTCCGTTTTTTGTCGCTCTACGCTGCTTTCCGGTCAGCTGTCACCTTTGAAATGGCAGTCCAGCGGACAGCTCGCCGTGATCGTATAGTGGTTAGTACTCTGCGTTGTGGCCGCAGCAACCCCGGTTCGAATCCGGGTCACGGCAGAATTTTGAGGGTCACCGTGGCAACTGTGCAATGCCAGACAGAAACTGTCGCAAACACAAAGTAATAGATTGATCTCACAAATATACAAAATACTAATCACTGATGCTGAACACATACTGTTAGCGGTCCACTTCTGGCTTTATGTCCAACTTCATACTTTTGCTCCAATAGGGAAAATATAACCCAGGGTTAGAGTCGGCTGATTTGTAGACATACAATCTACATGGGTGTAATTTAACATATTTTGTGGACCTCGTCTTTAACTTGGTTTACAAGTTTTAGATGGGGAATATGACATGGCCGCAAAAAAGAAAAAGAAATCAGTCATAAGATTTTTTATTTTTTTTTGCTTTTCTCTGTAGGGAGAGTAGAGAGGGAGGGGGGTGAGGGGGTGAGGGGGGTAAAGAAAGGATTACAGAGTCACTTAACCAATTTATTATTCCAAACGATAAAATACAACAATGAGGCAAGCAGTGGGAATATGCTAACCGAAGTATTTTATCTAATAGTAATAGTAATCTAATAGTGTACCGTGTATTAAGGAAGACTGGACAGGAAGGAGAAGAGAGGAAAAAATGAAGGAGGTAAACAGGGTAAAGCGAGTGAAGAATTAAGAGGAAAGGTAAAGAGAAGGAAGAGAAGAACCCTAACTCTAACCCAAAGTGACCCAATTTTATGAGACAACCTTCACCCAAGTTTATTACAATACAACAGTTACCATGGTGTCCCCGATTAGATATTTTAATGATATAATGACTAGAAATGTTCTTGGTTTTCCATTCAGAAATCTGGTCACCAATGATAATCTTTTGATATTTTAAGATCTACACAGATACATCAGCAGAGCCCCAAACCCATTTTAAACCCTCAAACAGATGCAATCCAACATCCAAGCAACACTCATGCAACCAAGCAATCAGAATAACAAACACAAGGAATTTGCTGTGATTTGTGCCGACAGTTTCATTAGTCCGTTAAGGCCGAAACGCACAATGTGCTTGGCGGACTTTGAGAGGGTGTGAAACAGCTCAGTAGAATAACAATCTTATTGGACCTCAGTGTCATGCTGAATACAATTTCATTCACTCATTTATTTAAGAGCCCTCTGGCCACGAACTGAGTCATTTTCCTACAACACAGAGTGATCCAAGGAAAAGAAGAGAAATGTGATTGATTACAGGCACTGCAACAGAGCTGAAGCCACTTCCAGCTGATTCTGATGAGCAAATAAATATTGTTTTTTTTAAAATGCCAAAATTATATCATGCAAGTTACTAAAGAGACAAGTCTGAATGTGAAATATATAACATCAGTTCTACTTAAATGATGTTTTCTGTGTTATAAAATAATGTATCATAGGCAGTATTTACATTGTAAAAATAATAAAACACACGTTCAATAAAGAGGATCAATTTTAAAATGATAAAATGTACTAAAATGATATTTGCAGTTTTCTGTCACCATTACATACTGTTCAAAGAAACTGTACAGACGCTCATTAAGAAGCATTCTGAACTTCATCATGTGTCCACATGGTGTCACCCTTACTTTTTCTTTCACTTCACTGAATCAACAAGCAACTGAGACTCACTCAGATGTAAAGTGTGTTCAATGAGATGAAGTTTGAGTTTTTATCTTCTAATATTCTTATTACAAAAATACACTTGGAGCTGCCAGAAATATAAAACTGAATTTTTCATTGACAAAACTAATAACTGTGATTATGTTATTAAAGGCTGAATCACAATGGATACGAACAGGCTACTAATGTAAGGAAATTTAAAATTTTACTTTCTATTCAAGTATAAGGGAGAGAGCAAAACATGAAGATTGCTTTGTGTTACATTTTCAAAAAGGCATTGTCATACACTTTGTTCAGTTCCTGATATATTTTCTACACAGTCAGTAGTTTGATTCAGTGCTATTAAACTTGCCGTCAAGGTGTCTCTAGACAAAAATTGCGGGTCATCAGACACTTATGTTACAGAAAATAGTGTCATTTTATATTTAACTACATTTTTTATCTTCTCTTGAGAAATACTGGAAACATTCGCCGCTCCAGGCTTGTGGAAATTGTTTAAATGAACCCACAAATCCATGGGCATCATAAGTCAAAAAAGAAAGCTGGAGACCACTGGCCGTTTTTATTGTTCTGAACTGTTGAAAAAGCCAAACCAGTACTTTTTCCTTTTGCCAGTGCAGGTTGTGACGTTCATGTCCCCCTCGGGATGAACTGTAAAAACTCTGATGACCCCCTGATTTTCCATCAAGCATTTTGGTTTACAACCACCTACCTGCAACTAATGACATCCAGATCAGCCTCAGCTGCTCTTGGTCTATCTTGGTGCTAATTAGCAAATGTTAGATTGCCAAGAGAGCATTACACTGAACAAGTCTCCTTTCAACTGTACCCTCAGTTTTCCATTTGGTGCCTCAACAATCACGGTAAAGACAAACAAACACACAAACACAACACAACACAGTCATTCAGCTGCAATCCACGCACATTACTTAATTAACACTAGGTTGTATAACCTTTTTATGTACATGCATATCATTGTTCAGGTTGGAGGACTTGTTGTTTTTCCCACTTGTCTGTCTTCCTCTCTGCAGCTCTCCTATAAGAACTCGATCTAGTCCTTGTGTTGTGTGTCCCACATTCTTTAAAAATCACCATTACTAATTCAGTTTAAGAAGCCCTCAAGATGTGTAAGACCTTGTGTGTGTATGTATGCACAGGCAGTCTTGTACACACACACACACACACACACACACACACACACACACACAAACACACACATACACAGACTCACACACAATCACACACACACCCACACACAGTCACACACACATACACACACACACAGTCGTTAGTTTGTGCTTGCTTCTGCTTGTGACTGAGATAGATGCCACAGGGGGGGTACCCAAGGTTCAGGGCTCCTGCTGATGCACTGACCTCAAACTGAATGGAGTTAGCACCAAAAGGAAATCTTAGCTCTGTTTCAAACTGAAACATGAAGTGGGTGTGTTTGGATTAATCCACTCAAACAATGACAATTTTAGTGCATCGTCTAACCTTAAGGAAGTGCTCATTTAAACCCAACCAAACCATGACCGCTCCACAACATTAACTGCATGTTTGCTACTGTTACCATGACAATGAAGGTCCAGTACGCCTGCTGCTGTTGTACTCCTATGGGTGGTATGCATAGTTCATATGTATACAAGGATAGGGTTAAGTGGGTTGGAGGACTTGCAGTATTGCACCCATTTTTTTGCTATGGCAATGAAACCCTTGTATGTCCTTTCGGCTTTTAAATAAAAGCATACCTTTTTTTGTGCACTGTTCACCAAAACCTACTTCATGCAGGAAGCATATGCTTTAAAATCCAAAACCCTAATCAAAAGATCACATGTATTTGAAGACCAGGCTGGGATTAAGTTGCTCTCTATCCCTTTTAAGAGCCTTAAGAGCACTTGGGGTCCCGGAGAGGGGAACTGGTTGTATTCAGCAATAATTCCTCATGCAAGAGACAGCAGCTGGTCTTGTCTGCCATCTAGCTTCTTTGCTGTCATGAGAGCAAGACAAATAGTGCAATACAGCAGTTATATGGAGATATCCTTGAGAATACTATCCATAGAATAAAATGTAGCAATAATATAATTGCTTGAAAATTTAAGGATTAATCATTTGAAGCTTGGAAACCATCTCTTATTGTTTTCTAGTCATTTTGTCTGTCTTCAGTTGCTAAATGGGGAATTAATTTTGATGAATGATGATGTTTATGTTTTAATTTGACTGTATGCAAAGCAATAATCAAGAGGGCTGAATGGTACATGATGAAATTTGGTAGCCAGATGCCAATTTTGAACCCACGGAGAGTGAATCATACACAGCATCATCCTGCTATAAGCCCTCAGGTCACCATTAGCAGCAGTGCTTTATATATTTCCAAAGAGGTGGTGAGAATGTGAATTACTGCTGCCCCACTTCCCCCCTTCCCTCCCCGCCTGGGACCACCTTGAGGGGAGCGCTGCATCTTTACTCCCAGGGTGACGCAGATGGCCTGTGCATTATACAACATGACAACTGCATTAAACATGAGCACAGGTCTACTGTGTCTCCTGACCACATATCAATGTGGTCTGTGGAGGGTCTCTCATACAGGAGATGCTTTTATTCCAGATGCTAGATGCTCACGCTTTGTTTAAATTGTGTGAATGTATTTAGGTCGGCATATCTTTAATATTTAAGATGAAAACACTCAGTATCTCAAAATGTAGCTCTGACCACTGCTGCTGCAATTCTGAATCAGTGTTTTGTTTATTATTGGACCCACAGACACTTAAACACAGATCTTTTTTATTACGCAATGTGATTGATGTATGAGAATACTTCTTTTAACCAATATGGCCTCAGGTGATTCTTGCTATTTTGCAGTAGTGAATAGTCCTTGATCTAAGCTGCTTAAGCTTTTCATATTAAAATTTAGGTTAAAAAGAAATGCCTTTAATCCTTAAAAGTCCAATGATTAAATTCAGTGGGTTAATTTTATACATAGTATATGCCTGAGAAAGAGAGAAAAAAACTGCAACAAATAGGTCACATCATTTCATACATTTTCATCTTTTATGATATCTCTATAGGAGTTACTCGCATTCCAGGTAGTTACTAGCAGATATGGCCACTAGTTGGTAGCCTTGCTCTTCTTATTTTATTCAGAAGCAGAGATTTGTGATTAATATACATTCACCCCACCTGAAAAGCCATAATAACATTTCTTTCTCTCGTTTACTTCCTTGTGTGCAAATAACAACCACATGTTCTCACCAGCGATGAATAAAACACACATTTTCTGACATAGTATTTTTTTTTCAGGCAAAAAGAGGCAATTCCTTTTGCACTAAACAACAGGTAATTTCAGGTGATTTAATTTCCCAGTGTGCATATTGAAACATAGCAAGTTAATGTAGCACTCTTAATAACAAAACCAAAGTTGACAGAATAGTAATGTGAATCTACAGTAACCTACACCACTCCTTAGTTTGCATGAGTGACATTCAGGTTATTCTTATATTGTGTGTGTGTGTGTGTGTGCGTGTGTGTGTGTGTGTGGGAGGGAGGGGAAAGGATGGGGGCAGGTACCAGACTTTTCAGCCCCTCCTCCACAGGGCCACGGTGAGCTTCTGTTCCAATGGAAACAGGTGGGATCCCCGGACTCCTCCAATCACACCCTCCTTCTATGCAGAGGGCGGCGGGGCGGGAGGGAGGACTCCAGGACAGGAGGCAGGACAGGAGGCAGGACCCAACCAACTTCCACACTCACCACAGGAAAAGTCGGGAAAATACAACTGTCCCCCTCCAAGCATGTCGCTGTTTCTGTTGGTCTGCATGTGTTTTTAAAGCTATTACGGTAAACATTAACGGGGCAGCCGTTTCGCCGGTGGAGTAGTTGCCGCCACTTGGACGCTATTGAGGGCGCTGTAGTGAGCTAAGCCTTGCGGTGCTGGGACGGTTCGCTGCGATGGAGAACATGTACTGACCGGATTTGGAATTGTTTTCTCTTGGATTACTCCCTGTTAAACCAACCCGGTTTGTTTCCCCCCGTTGACATTCTCTCGGTTCCTCTGCTTGTGTGGAAGTAGTAAATACTTTGAAATATGCCTGGAAAAACCAAGTATAACCTCGTTGATGATGGACATGATCTGAGGATCCCGTTGCACAACGAGGAAGCGTTCCAACATGGGATCAACTTCGAGGCAAAGGTGAGTTTACAAGCAACTTTTAAGTGTGGACGGTGAGACGTTAACGGAATTCAAATCGAATTCCTTAACGTCTGTTATTGAAAACGAATTAGTTAACGTATAATTTAAATGGAACGTATATTTTGTAAGCCAGCCTGTGTCAGACTTTCAACGTTAATACTCTTCTATTGTGTAAAGGTATCGTATTCAAAACTGGTATGAGAAATAACCGAAATAACGACTTTTTTTGAGACCGAACTCTAAGGACATTTGGCTAGCAAGTAAAGTAAGTTGATAGGTAGTTGAGAGATTGAAATTGTGCCCTAGTTAATAATTTACCATAAGTGGACAATTGAATTGTTTCAGTGAATACAAATTGAATTAAAGCCAACTAACATTATTCAATTAATGCGTTGTACTTTCCGTGTTTTTTTATTTCACCTTCCTGACTACAGTACATCGGCAGCCTGGATGTGGCGCGGCCGAGCAGCCGAGTGGAGATCGTGGCTGCGATGAGAAGAATACGAGTGAGTGAAAGCTTGACAAAAGTCCATATAAAATCTTGCAATTTTACACATCTTCGTTTATCAGCCAATGAGTAAATCTGGCAGAGTACGGTCTGAGGTGGTTTTGGATTAACTATATGTCACTGTTTTATTCGGCATATATATGATTGACTGAACAGCAACTTATATGAGGAAAGAGGCAACTTTTTGAGTTGGTTGATTGTCCACCCTGGTTAAGTTAATTGTGATGGGAGACTGTGGGAGTGAATATGTGGATTGAAACACTACTGAAGTGCTTGTGGTTTGAGTTTTATTTCTAATTCAGAATTTAAGAAAATACCATAATTATAAAAGTGAACTTTTGCGTTGGGAAATATCCTCTGATAGAGACATTTGATCAGTTGAATTGTGAAATATATAAAGTGGGGTCCAAAAAGATTGTATTGAAGGCATGAATTGGTGATTTGACTAATGGCTGGACTTCTTGGTGACCTTTCCCACAGAAGCCTCAGAGAATGGCATGACTAATCACCAAAATGTGTCATAAACTTTTGTGAAACAGACGATTGGACACACAAACTACAGTGTTATCACTCAGACATAGAGATGGTGTGAGCCGTAGTTATGAAAGCACCTTAGAGTTGAAATGTGTGCAGACTTTGTACTGTACTCGGACTCGGGTTGCCTAGCGGGAGGTTTTGGTCTCCCTTGTGCTCCATCACGGTTTTGAAGTTTCCTTTGAAGTAATGCACTGGAGTGTGATCACTCTCTCTCCCTCTCGCTCCCTCTCTTCTGCTATGTAAACCTAAGATGTGCCGCTTTTTCAGCTCCTGAGAGTAGACTTAATCTTAATCAGTGTGTCTGCCAGCTTGGCAGCAGTTGGTTTAGCAGCCTAATATAGGTTGTGCCAGTGGTGTAGAGGTATTTGAGGATTATGGTGATGAACTGGTAGGTGTGCTGTGTTGAATCAATGATCCCCTCAAGACCTCAGGTACAAGAACGCACATATGGCTACACGGGCAACACCAGTACACAATTTATTTGTATTTTATCACCTAATAATTGTAAAGGAGTAGATTACAGCTTTTAAGGAATTAATTCACCATCAGTTAGCTTTTCCTGACTGCAGGCTAGCAAAGTCAGTGGCTGCTGTGGTGAAGTCTGTATTTGTTGTTATGTGCTGAGGATCATGCCAGCAGGACACTCACTCTAAGATACATGTGTGTGCACAGTTGTGCAAAAGGTGCGAAGCGTTCTTATTGCCCTTTTAAGAGAAGTCACCCGCTCCTATAAAGCGGACCTCCCAGCGTGCTGCCATGGCAGCTGTTGTCGTTGGCAGGAAAAAACGGACTTTGGTTTGGCTCCTCTAGTGTGAAAATGGTTCAACACTGGCTTGACAACACAATCGAGGGAAACCACAGGTATCCAACTTGGAGGGGAGGTCACACTGGAAAGCCTCTGGAGGAGCTCTGAAACCATTTGTTTTAGTTGGGCCCCGAGAAAGCCAAAGCAATATACACTGAATGTTGATTTAAGAAAAGAAGAGAAAATAAAACCTTAATTATGTATTGATATGATTCGGCAAATATGAGTTGCATATCATGTCTTTTCTTTTTTTTTTCAACTCCCAACCTCAGCATTACAAATCATACATTTCAGATTTATTGTGGTCCAATTTATGTCTAAGATGGGGAGTAATCTGCAGACGGTGTAACAGTCTACATTGAGTCTCCCTTGTCCTATTACAAACTGAGATTATTTGCATCATGCCGTTTAATCTGACTCTGATTCAGAATCTGGCTCTGTGTATGGATTGTGTACACCTTTTTTGAAACCTTATTGAGAAAGAAAAGAAAACAGCAGAATTAGGGCTTAAAAACAGTCATTCATCATATGTGGTGAGGTATTTAGTGATTAAATGGAAAATATAAATATAAAAATAGAATAAAAAAAATATAAATGCTTTCTGTCTTGCCGTAAACAGTATGGATGTGAATTGGTTTAAAAATGAGCTTTTTCTGTAGCATGACTTGCAGCCAGAGACATCAAAATAGCTCCCTTCTTACACCACACTGTAGTGCCGCCATGTTTCATACGGTTTCATACAATGTAATACATTTGATTTGTTCCTGTTTGAGTTTGATTTGGTTAACCAAATGATGTGAATCAATATCATGGTGTTTATCCCCTAAACTGCTGGATGTTTGTGCTGTGGAGCAGCTACAGAAAGTGCTGGAGTGTTTGCTGACAAAGGCACAAATCAGAGGCTTCTACTTCTGTCTGCTGAATGAACAGGAATATGCAGGTACATCAAAACAATGACAGCACAGACTATATTACTCACATGGTGAAAAAAATGACAGTTTTTAATCTATGATGGTCAGTACTAAGACTGGAAAGCTTTTCCACGCCTCACAACACCTGTTCTGTCACTACAAGAAGTGGGTATAAACTTTTGGAATCAGAGAAGACGTAAATTCATTTAATCTTGTAGTCTGGCAGAAGCTTAATGTCGCCACAGAAACTTCTTCCCTTCAAATGAAGTTAAGCTGACACTGCTATTAGTTGCATCAAGCACGGTCTGTGTACCATTTTCTACATCAGGGACGGAGCGGCGAAGGGCAGACTCGTCGAGTTTCTCGTTTACGCTTTCATGTCACTTTTGATGGCTTGTGGAGTTTCTGAAAGAAAATTTTGTAAAATGATGCTCCCCGTAGTGTTTGGTCTTTTCCAAGATTTCTATCAGCTCCCTCTTTCGCAGAGTCAGTCAGAGCGCCGCGCTGGTTGCCAGGCACACGGGTCGATGTATGGTGTCATTGTTCATTGTGTGCATGAGTCACCTGTAAGCCAGTAGCTGATAACAACCTAATGACATTGCAAAGCAGGAAATACACACCTACAGTGAAGCACGGCGCTGCAGGATCTGGTGTGATTTTGTTGATGTCACATGTACGCAGTCACACACACTGATACATACACACATGTTTTGTTGTGCATGTTGTTCTTGAATGATTTATTACTGTTCCCAGAAATGAAAGAGGAAACACGTTATCAAAGATGGAACTACAATTTAAGTTTCACTTGGTGAAACTACTTTTGTTTACTAGTGTGTCTGAATTGTGTTTAGGACTACAACTCATTATTACTTTGATTATTGATTAGTCTTAGTTTGTTTTTAAATAAATCAGTGAATAGTCTAGTCTCTAAAATGTCAGAAGATAGTTTCAAAAATGCATATAGAAGAATAATTGAGGCTGAAACCAGCAATGTGCCACCTTTTTGCTTCATAAATGACTTACGAGGTGACTTCAACACATATTGTTGATTCATTTTCTGTCCACAGCCAAAGGATTGATGGACTCATCATTGCACACTGAGTGCTGTTGTTCTTTGTGCTTTGGCTGTCTCGTCTCTGCTTTTTTTTAACGCTGTCAGCTGGAGTCCACACAAAGGTGAACATGCTGTACAGTGTAATATAAAGGTCTTTTATAAATTAAATGTATTATTCTCATCGTCTGGCGAAGTCTGGTCGCAGCTTATCTGGTTAAAAGGAGGAGACCTTTCCAGTGAATTAAAGAGATTAATTTCTCATTAATCTTCCTCTGCTGGGTTAACTGACTGTAGGAAGATTGAACAGCATGGGATGAGAAGATTAGATGTGTCTGAGGAGACGTCCCTGGAGACTGGAAGAGCACAGCAGTGGTGCTGGAGTGGGGGGAAAAAGAGAGAGATGGAAATGCATTGTCCATCCCTTGAGCTGTCAGGACTGGACCAGGACCTTTTGTGTGTCCACTGAGCAGCTAACGAGCATCTTTTTAACGTCAACCCTAACTCTAACTGACGATAAGAAAACAATGTGGAAGCTCATTAGTCTCGATTTCACTGTACATTTTCATGTCCCATGGTCCTTTTTTGCTTTTCATGAGTTGAGCTCTGGAGTGCAGAAACATATAGAAGGCAGTCTGATCACGCAGTACATCAGTTTAATGATGGATCATTGGAGAGCGATAACATGAACAGTGTCTTTGAAGATAGTTTCTCTCTTGGTGGGTGGTAGGGATCTGTGCAGTGTTGACCACCATATTGTGCCCCTGGGACTGACATCTAACACTTACATCCAATGGCTCTTGTGATGTATACACATCAACCCCCAGGGCCTCACACAACACATCTTCAACAATGTTGATCAATGTCAACACTTGGTGTCAACATTTACATTTTATATCATGACTGGGGCTGCAACTAACTGTTATTTTCATTATTGATTAATCTGCTGACTACTTTCTTGATTAATTGATTATTTACTTTGTCCATAAAATGTCAAAAAAGAGTGGAACATGTTGATCAGATGACAGATTCATCGACTAATTGTTTCAGCTCTAATTATGATATTGTTACATACATCATGAAATAGTACATTTGTGGAAATTCATATAAGGTTTAATTAAATATCTGAAAAATTAGGGGATGAATGAATCAGTTTCCAAAATTCATAATTGTGAGCACCTAACCTAATTGTCAAAAAACTTTGCTTTAACAAGGAATTTGTGAAATTTCAAATGATTGAACATCACTGAACACAACACTTAATTCATCCGTCTTGCTAAAATGTCCCAGCAGGGATCAATACAGTATCACATTAGCATGAACAAGCTATAATCATTGTGGCGAGGCAGTGCTATTACCTAAGCTAAGCTGAATGACTCAGTGAAGTAATTATATGGTCATTCGGGCCCTTGACTTACACTTTACATATTATCATCTATCTGCTGTGTACACAGGAAAATACACTCATACAGTATTTACACTCATTATGTAGCGGTGGCTGTATTTACCTACATTTATACTGGCAATCATATTTGTAAGTCCTCACAAGGATGTTTTCATACAGAACTAGTGAGTGATAGAGGAAGAATAAATGAAGTAGAAACGAATCATGAACTGACGATCATGATACAGTTTTGATTCTTGAAAGCGTCAGCTGGAGTGGTTTTTATTTTGGCCACTATCTCACATATCTC